ACACACAGCGCACACACTGAACAAACACTGAGCAAACACACTGAACAAACACTGATCAAATAAAATAAAAACTGATTCAAAATATTAATACAAATGATAATAGTATCTCAATGATACAAGACCTCGGATGTAACATTTTAACCTAAAATCACGTCTGTGTTACTTGTGAACTATCCAAAAATAAAATCTGAAATTATTGTCTGATGGAGATGGTTTACGATGACTAGGCAAGGCAAGTTTATTTATATAGCACATTTCATACACAAAGCCCGACCCAGTTTTCCAGTCTCTCTAGAAGTATGTTATGATCGACCATGTCAAACGCAGCACTGAGATCTAGTAGTACCAGCATTGATATTTTGCCAGAATCAGAATTTAAGCAAATATCATTTATTATCTTAATGAGCGCTGTCTCTGTGCTGTGACTACTTTCAATGTTCAGCATTAAAAAAAAATATATATATTAAATTACATTTTACAGGACTGGACGTTTTGTTTACTCATTATCTTGACTATTTATAATTATTACATTCAATTATACAGGACAAAAAGTATTTTTACTTATTGTTTTTATTAGAACTAAAACTTAAACTAAAATTAAAACCATAAAAACTTATTTTCATTACTTTAAATAAAATCATATAAAATGATATTTCAACTTTATTTTCATTTAGTTTTACTTTATATATTAGGATAACTAAAACTAAAATTAATAAAAATGTTATAGACATAAAATAAATAAACTACTAAAAGCGACAAAAACAAAATCATTAAAACTAACTAAAATAATTAAATTAAATTAAAATGGAAAAAAATTCAATTCAGTTCAACTGATTCAATTTATTCAAAGGACATGATTTTCAACGATTTCTTAAAATTCAGCGATTTAAAAAAAAAAAAACATTTTCATTACTTCAAACAAAACAAGACACATATTTTAACTCGTTGTGAAGGCAACATTTCTCTCTAAAATAACCAAAACTGAAACAAAAACGACTAAAAATAACAAAAACACAAAATTACAAAATATTATTAAAAACATTATAGTATCTTAATAATGCTAAAATAACACTGATTTGTATAATGTTGTATTATCTTCATGCCTTATAGCTGGATGGTTTTGCACAGATTTGATTTCATTTCCTTCAGGACGTGTTTGTTTTCTGTGTTGCAGAGCGGAGTATTTAGCGATCGCATCCGAGAGCAAAGACAACTGCGCTGGCGTGCAGGTAGCAGAATAGCACAGGTGGGTTAACTAGCACTCATAACTAGTCCTGGTTTTCCCAGACCTGTCTCTCTTTCCAACCACTGTCTTCTTTCCTGTCTGCAGGTTTTTCCGGAACGCTCTTCCTCCTGAACTGCTGTCACTGTCTCCTCCTCCTCCTGTTTTTATAAGCTTTTCTTACCTCTTCACCTTATCTCCACCACATGACCGTTATGCTATGCATGGATAAAACCCTCACAGTCCACTGCAGTACTCCAGCCAGTCCAATAGAAAGGCAATACACTGATTTTGCACTAGAAATCAGTAAAGAGCAAGCTATCTTTCTTGATCTCACCACATATGGGAGCCATATATATGTATATACTACACATAATTATCAGACGATCTGAAAGACGAACGCCATGCATGAGCTAAACGTGAATGCAAATGCAATTTCTATGCGTTTCTATGCCGGGAGGAAACTCATCCTAGATGCTTCGATCGCTATAAACGACGAGTTTCTGTTGTATAATCCAAGTGCAATATGAGAATCAAACTCTAGCTCTTGAATGTAGCAAGCACTCACAGAATGTTTGAAATGCATTATGGGTAAGTACATTAAGACACCCGATAGCTCATCCCGTCCCTGTGTGCCGTTTTAATGCATGCCCACACTGCAGTCGATCAACGCCAGGATCCAGTAACAACCCAGATAGGCCCTTTCTGTCAGACGCGCCTGATATAATGTGAGGAAAATGCATAAATGCATGCTGGGAAACGCAGGGCTGGTGGGCGGGAGTGCAAAGAGAGAGAGAGAGAGAGAGAGAGAGAGAAATGTGCAAATTAAACGAGTTAAAATGAATTCTGTGGACTCTTTTATTTCTGAACTGAGGCGGTGTGGATGCTAGTTTGTGTTCGTTAATGCTAGTCAATGCAAGAACTAACAATGACGTTTATTTATAAAGCATATTTCATACACAATGGTCATAGAAGGGCTTTGCATAAAATGTAAAAATAATCATTAATTTAAAATGATCGTAACATGAGTCAGACAAAGTTAAGAGTATATAAAAAATAATCATAACAGATGATAAAGAAATAAGATTGACAATTAAAAATGCAAAAAATTAAGTTTTTCATCAAAAATATAATTAAAAACAAGTAGATGATGCAGTGCGATTAGGGGTGGGCGATATGGCAAAAATATCATATCACGTTTTTTTATTTATTTTTTTCAGGAAAATCACGATTTTATCACGATTCTTTGTCGTTTGGTTTTAATATTTTGCAGGTTGTCTGAGCAGCACAGCCAAACTAATTTCCATCTTTTAAAAACAATGGCAATGTAATAAAACATAAAATAAAAAAATAATGGCAGCTATTTAGGCCAAAGTGGGCGAAGATAAAAATCTTTGTCATTATTTATTCTTTGTAATTAAAAAATAAGATGCACATTAATACATAAAACACGGAGTGTGCTTTACAAACAGTGCTTTATTTTCAGGTACAGTGGGTGTATTTAGCGTAGCATTCAAGAAACTAAATTAAAAATATCAAAACAAAACACTATTTACACTTCACTGTATAAATTATGCATTGATTCTTATTAAAGCAACTGTATTCAAGTTTATCAGTCAAGAGCAGTGAGTGATTTTTCTCGGTTTTCTTGTTTTATTTGGTTCCTACATTCTTCAGAATATCTTATTTTGTAACTAATCAGCCGCTGTTTGACGGGCTTTTAGACATTTTAATCGCCCACAATCAAAAATCATATCATCACACAGCCCTAAGTGCACTGAACAAGAGTTTTACAGCATTTATTAATCATGATTCATTTCTTTATATTCATTTGAAGACTGCATGAACTAATGTTAATGTTCAGCTCTTAAAGAACAACAGTATATTCATACATTAATTATGCTGTAAAAACATTAATTTCATTAACTATTTTTTTTAGTTGTTAAATTAATGGTTAAAAGGTACATATCTCGTCTTTGGTTCTATACAGTCATTAATTTACAAATCATGTAAATCTCAGATAATACAGTTAATGTGCGTTTCTGCCACGGAATAAATGTTTAAAAATAAAAAATAAAAATTAAAAAAATTAAAGTAATTGCTGCTTTTTTCTCACAAAATTCAGGCTTTTTTTCTCGTAATTCAGAGAAATTGTGAGTTTAAATCATTCGTATAATACAAATAAAAAAAGTAATAAAATAAATGTTTTTACAGCATGATTAATGTTAATGTATAAATATACCGTTGATATAAGATATAAACTTGCTACTCTGAGAAGAAAGTCGTAATTGTGACAGTTGCGAGAAAAACTGTTAGAATTGTACGATTTAAAAGTTGCAGTTACATTTTGTATTTTTACTTCTCACAATTCTACGTTTAGATTTCGCAGTTCTGAGGAAAAAAGTCTGAATTGAGAACTTTGGAACTGCAAGAAAAAAAAACGAGTTTACATCTTTTTTGTCTGAATTCTGAGTTTATTTCTCATAATTCTGATGAAAAAAAGTCTTAATTGCAAATATAAACTCATAATCATGAGAAAAGAGTTACCTTTTATTTTTATTTTTTTAAGTAACAAGCTTCCATACTGTACAGAACATGACAAAAGATGCAATATATATCTATATTAATCCTGTCAAACGATTAATCTGTTTAATCGCATCCAAAATAAAGGTTTTTGTTTATATAATATGTGCGTGTGTATATTTATTATGTATATATAAATACACAAACATACATGTATATATTTTAAAAATATTTAAAAATATATATATATATATATATATATATATATATATATATATACATATCTATATTCAAATATCATTTATATTATATATAAATATTAATATTTTATATATAAACAAAACATTTTCTTGCATGCATGTGTGTATTTATATATACATAAATATACACACATATATAAACAAAAACCTT